CACCCCCCCCCCCCCCCCCACCTTCTCTTCTGGACATGTGTTTATGGTGTGGGTGCTCAAATAGATAAAACTAGAAAAGTGAACACATCATAATGGTAGCACCAATAAGTATAATAGTATATGTGTGTAGCCATGTGCAATAAAACCAACTTCTACAATATCAGAGTATTTAGAGAACTCTCTTATTGGCAGAGACCATGATTTGTACATTGGCTAATTTTGCTAAACGAGCTTATGCTACAAATTTAAAGTCCTATTTCCAAAAAAAAAAACCATGAGAAATTGAGGCCTAATGTCAGGGAGCTCGGATGCAAAGTTCCATCAGTCGAATATTACAACAACGCTGGTATAAACAGTTGGCAACATGTGCATCACAAAACAAGCCTATTGTTTAAAGTGAGGGGGCATCCATGNATATTTCCAAAAAAAAAAACCATGAGAAATTGAGGCCTAATGTCAGGGAGCTCGGATGCAAAGTTCCATCAGTCAAATATTACAACAACGCTGGTATAAACAGTTGGCAACATGTGCATCACAAAACAAGCCTATTGTTTAAAGTGAGGGGGCATCCATGCTAAACATCTAACAGCAATTTTTAGGAGTTTCAATACTAAAAAAAGAAAAAATAGATTTCCTTTTCTTGCATTAACAGGCCTATAACTATAAAATCAATAATGTTCGAATTATCTGAAAAAAAAAGGGCAGCAGCAGAAGAAGAATGCCCCTCCAAAGTTCAAGATTTGTAATGNAAAATCAATAATGTTTCGAATTATCTGAAAAAAAAGGGCAGCAGCAGAAGAAGAATGCCCTTCCAAAGTTCAAGATTTGTAATGTAAAAGCCAATGCACCACTAAGAATCAGAAATAANTAAAATCAATAATGTTCGAATTATCTGAAAAAAAAAGGGCAGCAGCAGAAGAAGAATGCCCCTCCAAAGTTCAAGATTTGTAATGTAAAAGCCAATGCACCACTAAGAATCAGAAATAAAACATATATCGTTAAAATATAATTATCCGCCAGAAATTCAAGGGAAAGAAGATCGCGTTGTACGTTGGACACGACTCGTCNAAAACATATATCGTTAAAATATAATTATCCGCCAGAAATTCAAGGGAAAGAAGATCGCGTTGTACGTTGGACACGACTCGTCTCCAACCATCGAGGACGTCAACGGCGACGTGGACCGTTGACTCTACTCTATTCCGGCGAGAATCAAAATTACGCTTAATTTCAGAAAAAATTAAATAATTCAAGGAGATCTAGAAGGATGTGATTGAACCTACCCGATAGCTTCATGACCCAATATTCTCGGAAAATATGCAGGAGGATCCTTGAAAAACAGAGGGAAAAAAAATCAAATTCAAAATTCAAAGAGAAAGAGAATTGTAATGGTGGTGAGGAAGAGAGATGAGAAGTAAGAAGATGATATACCTTCATTTTCCAGAAGGTGATGTCGCTGTGACAAAGAGAGGTGCATATGATACGAATGCGAACTTCGAAAGCTTTTGGAGGGGCCACTATCACTTCTTCTATCACCAGAGGCTCCCCTGCTTTCCGACACACCGCAGCTGCAGCAAAGCGACCATGTTGCGTTTAGATGGGAACAAAAATGAACACTAATTCACTATTACTTTGAGAGCTGACCTTTGCACTGAATGGGCTTCCTGGCAGTTTTGCATGACTGTTTCTCCTCCATTTTAGAAGCAATCTCTGGTTCTCCGCCACGGACTCTGTCTCTGTGTGTGAGAGAGCGAGAGCGAGAGAGAGAGATCGCCTGTCCTTCTGTGAGTGTTAGGTGGTGGCTTGGCTTGAGTCTGTTTTAGACCGTCACGCGCGTAATTCCTATCCACCTCAGTTTAGTCAACTACGCCTGGTCAGATAACGAAAAAGACACCATACCAGCCTTCGTCTGCCCCTGCCACCAGCCTCCCACAATACAATAGAATATACAGAGAACAAAATCATTGGTAAATCTTTCGTTTTTTTGTGGTGGTGAGTGGTGGGGTTTGGGGACTACAGCAGGCCCAGGCCATCCTGTAGAAGGTGTTGCGAGATAAAGTGCAACCTCTTCTGCGGGTTATCGAGTTCAATCCAATAATTCGAGTTCAACTTAAACATTAAATTGGGCTCCACCCAAATATATTTAAAAATAAATATATAAATTAATAGATTCAATAACATAACTTATAACTCAATATATTAATTAATAAATTCAATAACATAATTTATAACTACGATTAACAGTTCATAATTTACTTTAACAAACTCAACATGAAATCAATTCGAATTAAGTAACTCAAAATTTAATCTGATTCTGTCAATCAATTTAGATAATACTTAGGTTGAATAAATCAGGTTGAGCCNCGAATTAAGTAACTCAAAATTTAATCTGATTCTGTCAATCAATTTAGATAATACTTAGGTTGAATAAATCAGGTTGAGCCGAGTTAAAGTAAAAGTTGAATATTATATACTTAAAACTTAATTAGAGTTAACTCTTCAACCAACCCAACTCGCCTGAGTTGCACCTATTACGAGACAGCCCGCATTTTTAAGGGAAAAATTCACTTACCCTTCTGCGCAGGCATAATTTTGCTTTTATTTGAAATTGCACCGACAAACATAATGTTAATTTGTGACTTGTCAATGGTTTATTCTGGAGTAATTTTATTGAATTTGACTTAATTTGTTAATTTTAGGATGCGACAATGATATGGTCTAATAAAATTATTGTGGCTATAACTATTAAATTTTTTTATCGAAACTCTATCGTTTGTCACATCATTAAATTAAATACAAGTATTCCTACCCTATAAATATTCATTCTCACCTCAATAAATAAATATGTATTCCCCTTAATTTAAATTTATATTAATTTGTTTACAATTTGTATGCAAAGTGCTGTAATTAAGCATTAATGGATGATCTCGGTTGATAGCAGGATTTACCCAATACCCTAAAAGGAGAAGAGCCCAACATCTCAAAACGAGCAACTTAAGTTATAATAGAGATATATCGTAAATCTAGATATCATGAATTTGAATTTTGATAATTTTTTTAAATCAGGTCACGAGCGATTTATCATTTATGAATGTCATAGTTTAGACGTGGATGATCTATTTTTGACCATACTAATGAAAATATTAGTCTAAATGCGCATAAATTAACCCAAAGCACTTGACCATTGAGTAAAAATAAAAAATAAAAAGATTTGGAGGTCGATCCCTATGCCCAATAAGATTAAAAAAACACAAAAAAAAACATACTCGTCAATTTTCTTTTAAATTATGTCCCAGTTGAAAAGTCAAAATAATGAACATAATTAACATCTTTTATAATTGCAAAATATAACGAAAATTCTAAAAAACTACGGCATCATAATGTACATTTTTCTTATAAACACAAATCGTAAGACAAGTACACAATTAAATATATATATATACACTTTTGAGTCAAAAAATAAAAGGTACGCATTAAAAAAATAAAAAATAACAAATACATAATAAAAAATAATAAAAAATAATAAGTATGCAATAATTGTCAGACATATACACAAAAACATAGATTGTCAGACAAGTATACTAAAACATAGATCGTCAAACAAGTACACTAAAACATATATTATTAATATACTTCCTTTTCCATGAACATAGATCTTCAGACACATACACTCAAACACAGATCGTTAATGTATTTTTTTTTCATAAACACAGATCGTCAAATATGTATACTAAAATACAGATCGTTAGACATCATCATAATGTCCAAATTACTTGGTTCACGAGTTTAAATTTCAAAACTAATAGATAATGTTGCAAAAACATTAATAATAAATACAAAAAAAAATTATATTTTAGGTTAAAATCATGCAATGAAAGTAAAATATATAATGAAAACCAGTAACTAACTAATCATTTAGCATTCATGTAAACACAGGGGGACGTAACTAAGTTTTTTCAAAAATTGATTTTTTTATACTAAAAAATTTGTAGCACTAAAATTGGTGTGCCGGGATCTAGCCTAATTAATTGAAAAAAAAGGAGAGAAGTATGGTTGTTTGGATTTAAGCCCGTAAAGAAAATTTATTTATTATTTTGTCAATTTTATTAGACCATCATTTCCTTTAGAAGTGAAGTAAAATCACAAATTAAAAACTCATAAATTTTAGAAGTTTGACTAATATTAAAAAAAAATATCTCTTATATCTATCTATATTCATATATAGGTTAGAACTATACATCTCTCACATATATACATACAATAACATTAAAAATAAAAAACAGTAACATTTAAATACAAAAAAAAATATTATTTAAACATAAAAAATAATAGTCATATGAACAATAATATACTCAACAAAAATAATAATATAATAAAAATAATAATAACATGAAACATTCAAGTCCCAAAAATAATAATATTTTTAAAAAACATGTAACATATAATCAACATGATAGTTAATAGACGAGAAAAATAGTGAAAAATTGATCAAAATTGGGACAAATACTCGGTGCAAAAGAAATAAATGTTTGACAAAGATTTTTGAGTTTAATTTTCTCAAAACCTTTAACAAAGTTGAAAAATGCCTACCTAATCCACTAGTTTTTCATAGGGGGATTAATGATCAAATGATCCACTAGTTTTTCAAATGACCTTTTTGTGCTAAGTCATTGAATTAAAATACACACATATATAGGTAATATGAAACAATAATTTAGCCTTTGTGAAACAGAGAAATAATGGATAAATGATTTTTTTTGAAACCTTCCTTAACCATAGAGGCGAGTGAAAAAGTCTTCTTATACTAAGTTGCGAACCAATTTCTCGATAAATTCAACATTGCTTGCAACCACGACGACGTCACAACTAGTTGCCTGGGAGAGAGAGAGAGAGAAAGAATCTTTGACTTTTAAATTTTAAATTTATGATGAAAATTTTATTGACATATTTTAATTGACATTGAATTAAGGGATAAAAATTTATAAGATAGTAAATTAATTTACCTTTCTTTAAAAAAAGGGTATTTTGGAATTTAAAAAGAATAGTGGACTTAACTACTTACTAATAAGATTAGAAATAGACTTATTCTCAAATAAATTTTTATGATAAATTAAACTTATTATAAATCTCTTGCATCAATTTTCACAAAAAGAAAAAAAGGGCAAAAAAACCAGCCATCAAAATTATAAAAAGACCACACACGGTCCATAACCGGCAAAATTTGGCCCAGCACATGGCGCAATCTAGATCATTCTGGAATCGTATGGTTCCTTAATATCTCAAGTCCTGACATAACAGTTCAGTCACCGCATAAACAAATCGGATTGGTGAACGACCGACCCCATTTAGACGGTGAGTTTTTGTGCTTGAACTCGAATCCGAAGAAATAACTCCATTTCGTAGCTCCCAAGTTATCCAGACACCCCCATTCAGCTTCCGACGATCGGTTGTTCTTCCGTCGCAGCTTGTTTTCATCTTCACTCTCCGCTCTTTGATCTGACATATCCGAAAGGTTCGATTTTTCGGATTTCCCTTTTATGTGTGTTTGAGTATGAGTGTTCTGTAAAACGTTTGCTTCTTTTTTCTTTGTTCTTTTCTTTTTCGAAACCCTAAGCAAAACCTAAGCGTTACATTCTCTATAGGTATGTGACCTAAAAATTATGTCGGTCAAGTTGCTTTATTTCAACCTCAATTGACGCGAGCAAGAAATTATTGCTTTTGGATCGCCCCTTTCAATTTTCGTGATTGAATCTCCTGTGATTTTTAAAGTTCTTTCTGATTTATTTCCTTTCACTTTATTGTTGCCGAATGTTTTCGATTTAGGTATTCCTCGTCCCTTATTTTTCAATTTTGTTTTGCTTTGCTTTTGATTCTTTCAAGCATTATTCATTCGAGATTGAAAAATGAAAATCATTCCCCGGTGTTGAGAATATGAACTCCTAGTCTTTCATTATTGCTCAAACCTTACGTATAGGCCTCGTTTGAAGCTAATTTGAGCGTTGTCATGTCATTACAGTGCGTGGTGATTCATGTAACCTGTGCCTATGTTATACGCTTCTTTTGGAGCTGAAGGCTTATTTTCTTTACAGTGGTCTTAGATTCTCCTGTTACTGATCTGGCAATGTTTTGATGAGTAAGACAGAATTATTCTTTTTGGAAGAAGATCATAGTTAGAGTGCTGGGGTGGTAGTACTAGTCGTGTTCATTGCACCATGTCACCATCGACATTGATCCATTAGGTTTTCTAACAGTTGAATGGCGTGGCTTCATGAGTAATTCGCGTGGTTCCTATTAATCCTTCTTCATCGATATTGATCCATTAGGTTTTCTAAAAGTTGAATGCCATGGCTTCATGAGTAATCAGTGTGGTTTCTATTAATCTTTCTTTGATTTCTTTAAGTGGACATTTACTTTTGCCTAGGTTTTACTTCTATTGCTCTTGATTGATCACATCCATTGTATTTTTAGTTCTCAGTTGCCTTTGAAGTTACATGGCGGATCAGAATCCAATTGAAGGTTCGAGTACAAGTAATGTCTCTGGTGAAAGTTCTGAATCGATCGTGGAGCTCAATATCAAGACCCTTGACTCCCAGATGTATAGCTTTCATGTGGACAAGGATGTAATTCACTGATTTCTCTTATTTTTGCTTGTACTTGAAAACTAAACTAACAGTTTGCTACTAGTTCATGTATAAATTGAATGAAAGTAAATATTGTCACACGATATTGTTGTGCATATTATAAATGAAGGAAATATATGTATTAAAAGCTTGAATATTGTCAAATTTTCTTTCATTATATGACTGTGAAATTGCTAAATTATAGTATGTTGGGTTATTTTGCCATTTGCTTATGCCTCTTGAATCTTTGATGATTGCAGATGCCTGTTTCAGCATTCAAGGAGAAAATAGCTAGTCAAATTGGGGTCCCAGTCGGGCAGCAACGTCTAATTTTTAGGGGCAAGGTCTTAAAGGACAGTCACCTCCTTTCTGAATACCGTATCCTACAATTTGTGACATTTATGATGCATTTTTTCTTATGAACCTCAGGTTCGCTAGTAGATAAAATGTAATTTCACCTATATATTTGTACATATTTCTTGAATGTTTTTCCTGACAAAGTTCCCAACATTTCATGTGGAAATATGACAAATAGTTGTGAATAATAGGGGGAGAGTTCTGTTCTGGTGTGTTTGTATTAGCTTGCAATTAGATTTCCATGGGTTTACTTGACTAAAATGGATTGCCAATTTTTCGTCATGTTGCCTTTATGAGTGACTGCATAGATGGCACCATACTTGAAAAATTTATCTTTCTTCCTCCCTCGGAAAACGCCCCACTCCAAAAAGTTCTAGAGTAGATACGTGTCTTGAGAGCGTAATGGTTTGATAATTACAATTTGGATAGTGCAGTTTTTGTATTTGATTGGGAGTGTTCAAGTTGTATTTAGCGTTGGAGACTTATGAGGAATTGGCTCTCATTACTGTTTTTCTTTATTTACCAAACGGAAGCTGAAAGCAAATAGAATGGCTTCTAGGAGTATTGGCTGTCACATGAACAGAAATGCATGAAGTCGATGTACCAAATAAATCTGTGGTTCAAATGGAAAAGGTAATGACGTTAATTTCCATGCACAGCTACTAAGTCACCCTGGCCTCAAAGAAAAAGGTTAAACTGGTACTTCTCTTTCATAAATTGTGCTGTTGTGGGGTTCCCTCAGCCATGATCATTCTTTTCTTTTTTATGTTTCTTTTGTAAATAGACTTGTCTTTGAAGAAAGCTTAGCAACTTTGTTCGTCTGGTAAATCATTTCAAGATATCTTAATACATTCTGATCACTAATACATATCTTATTGGCCATGAAAGTATTTATTTATTAGCAAGAAAGTATTTTTGCCTTATACCATTGTTATAGACACGGAGGCATTTATAAGTGGGTATATACATCGTTTGTAGACCCTTAACTCTTGTTAGAGGTGGAAAACGGGCATACATTGCACTTAGTAGAGAGGCAGCCTTCTCAACCACAGCCCTCAGCTGGTACCAGCTCAGAGGAGACTACTGCAAATAATGGCACTAGAGGTATGAATTGCAAGTTGTGCAGATCGCATTCTGAGCTTTTTTTTAATGATGTTCCTCTGTGAAGTAAGGGTTTATGTTTTTCTTGGATGGCATGGATGCTTAACAGGACAAGAACCTAGTGGTGGAGGATTGCGGAACCGTGTAGGGCAAATTTCTCACAGCGTCGTATTGGGGACCTTTAATGTTGGAGACCAAGAAGGCACTGTGCCAGACTTAAGTCGGGTGTGTCTGTAGGGCACTTTTGTCCCTTCTATTATTTGTATGACTACTATTTTAGATAGTTTTATATGCATTACTAGGCCAGAAAAGCTTAATGATTGTCGTTTGGCTTTAGGTGATAGGGGCAGTTCTAAATTCTATTGGGATTGGTAACCAGACTGTTACTAATGGTACTGGCGGCACACAATCTAGTGCGCAGGTGAGTAGTGTTTTTTCTGTTTACCTTTTTCTTTTGCTTTCCCCTTTCCTAATCTTTATAATGCATGAAATATGTATATATACAATATCTCATGTTGCTGCATATTTCTCACACAAAGTGCAGAGTTTAACTTTCACAAATTGCAGAGTTTAACTCTCCAATTTCGATGCAGATAATAACATAAACTTGTTATCCTATTTTCATGCATAAGATACACACTAGTTTCCATTGCTATTTGACATTTGGGGCCATAGTTACTCTGAGATATAGTCACGATGGTGTCCTCTTGGGTAGTCAATCTACCATTTTTTGGGGGGTTGGGGAAAGAGGAGGTGGGTCTGGGTTATTCTCATTTCTACAACCAAACATCACAATTTGTGCATGTGTTTTCGGTTGCCTTTCATATTTCCTATAGTAATTCTTTTCAGTTGTTGCTGATTATGTATTCTTGCTTTTGCCACTTATTTATTTTGTCAGGCGACCATATGCGGTTAACATGTTATTTCTTCATATGTCAGCACTTCAAGTTAGAATTTTTAGGGCATCCACCCCGGTTGTTACATGCGTTACATAATGGGAATGGAAGCTAGAGGCATGATTTTTTTCAATCCTTACCTTGCCTACTTTATAACAATACTCATGTGCTAACATCAAAATCATACAATTAGTGAGTTTTCAGCCTTTCCTATTTTTTTTTGATAAGAAACAAACTTTTATTTCATAGAAAGTGAATAAATTACAAAGATGGAGGATAAGAAATCCACCCATTAACAAAAGGAATACAATGAAAATAGAATAAATTTAGCTATGTGTCGCTTTCCAACTATGCTGTAAAATCGACTTCTTAAATCGTTTTAGTATATTAGTTCATGATATGAAAAATTGATATGCAAGAATAGATCTCCTGTCAAGAGTGTCGTGTCTTGTTTGGCGCTTCACATTTACTTTTTACTGTGGTCTAAAATAATTAATATCATAGAGCATTTCTACCAAATTCTAAGTATGGTTTAATTTTTTTTTCCTTCTAAAATGGGTTGGTGGAATTTGGGTGCATTTAAAAACATTTGAATTTGTTGCAATGGATGAGCACCCATGGATGCAGAATGTGGTGGTTTACAATGTTGATGGACCTTTCAATCAAGCTACTTTTATTGGACATGCTGAAATCAGCTTTGTGAAAACTCGGTGTGAATATGCCATTCCTTCAAATAGGTTTTGAATTGATCAGATGGTTTGTCTGGTTATCAACCGTTGGATTAAAACTGTTGAACACATGTAAGAACTCAAGTTTTGGTAGCCACCGTCAGGACTCTACTTTTAGGATTTATAGACCAATATTATTATTAGGATTTAGATTGAGGTCTACTGGCACTCTGGCTTTTCTTCAAATATTTTTGTCTAAAGAATTGCTCCATAATGCTTACTTAGTATTTGCTGGCTGTTGCCTGTGAACTTGTCCCATTCACATACTATTACCACAATGAAACGAATGCCTAAGGAAAAGTAAGGGTATACACTCAGCGGGAGAGAGTGCAATATGAGAATTGAATTCTTATAGCTATGTGCTCTGTGTGGTATTTGGGTGTTATGATAACTGAGGAATGTCATCGTAACTGTGGTGTGGTGGAGTATGTTGTTCTCTATTGTTTAGTGTGGTGTACTTATATGTGTCTCATGCTTGTTTTTTCCTACTCATCATTTTGCTCATTTAGTGAGTTGATTGATTGGTTGGCAGTTCAATCCTCCCATTCAAGCGCCTCAAGGGAATGAAACAGAAGGGCTAAGAGGTAATGTTGGCATTCAGAGCCAAGCAGGATATCAATCACAGCCTAGACAGGCTTTTCCTAGTCCTTTGCCCCAACCTTTCCAATTTCCGATTGGAGCAGCTATGGCTGTTCCTTCGCTCAATGTGGTATAGAGCATCTCTGTTCGATAATAAAATTATACAAAATTGCCTCGTTTTGCTTTTTCTAACGTCATTTTTCTGTATATCAGCCAATTCCTGATTCTTTGCACACACTTACTGAGTTTATGAACCGCATGGAGCTGGCATTGTCTCAGAATGGTGATGATTTTGAAGTTGTTGCCTCATTTGTTTATTGCTACAAATAACTTCCCTGAATAACCGCTACTTTTACTGCAGGGTTTCAGCCAGATCAATCATTAAACAACACAGGGGACCGACCAATGGGAGAATTGCCTTCCAATTCTCGTGGGGGTTCAACACCTGAGGCATTGAGCATTGTGTTGCGACATGCACATCGTCTTCTTGGGGGTCATGCTACCGCAGCATTATCAGTGCGTTCTATACACTGAATACTCTGGATTTGCTCTTCATTTTCTTCTGAATGTGTTCTCATTTTGTGTGAGCTTCTCTTGGTTTTTTCTTTCACAAACTTCAGCTGCCCCAACATGTTGGTGTAGATGTGTCGTGTATTTATGCATGTTATATCTTCTCCCCTGACATTATATTCCATTCTTTCACTGTGATTATATTTCGAGAAGTAATCTATGGTTAGGCATTATAGGGCTATGTCAGGAGCATAAGTAAATTTGGTATTCAGGCAATATAACTTGTCATTTTTGTTGTTATCTATCATAACAACTCACAAAATTCAGTAGACTGGAGAATTNGCGTAAATTTGGTATTCAGGCAAAATAACTTGTCATCTTTGTTGTTATCTATCATAACAACTCACAAAATTCAGTAGACCGGAGAATTGGGCCCTTGGAAATAGTTTTCCACTTCTAATTATTTTCTATATTTAATCNAAGTAAATTTGGTATTCAGGCAATATAACTTGTCATTTTTGTTGTTATCTATCATAACAACTCACAAAATTCAGTAGACTGGAGAATTGGGCCCTTGGAAATAGTTTTCCACTTCTAATTATTTTCTATATTTAATCATTTACAACTGATTTTGTTCACCAAACAAGTCACCAAGGGTTGATTTTGATATAAGTTGTCATAGTGTCGTTAGAATAAGTGAGCACATCTCTTCAAGAATAAATGCAAGTTTGAGCAAGTTATGTTGATTGAATTATGTTGTAGGACTGTGCTGTTTAATCTATTGCCGTATCAGAAAATTACGTGTGAATTTACCCTGTCTTAATTAAAATAAACTTCACGGTTCCTGAACTTTTACCTTCTTGTCTGATTATGTGGTGTTTGTAATCTGCTGCAACTTTGTAGCATATNAGTCACCAAGGGTTGATTTTGATATAAGCTGTCATAGTGTCGTTAGAATAAGTGAGCACATCTCTTCAAGAATAAATGCAAGTTTGAGCAAGTTCTGTTGATTGAATTATGTTGTAGGACTGTGCTGTTTAATCTATTGCCATATCAGAAAATTACGTGTGAATTTACCCTGTCTTAATTAAAATAAACTTCACGGTTCCTGAACGTTTACCTTCTTGTCTGATTATGTGGTGTTTGTAATCTGCTGCAACTTTGTAGCATATTGCAGGACGTTTAGAGCAAGAGGCGGGTTCTGCTGATTCCACTGCGAGAGGCCAAATTCAGGCAGAATCAGTGCAAGTAGGTCTTGCAATGCAGCATTTAGGTTCTCTTCTTCTCGAGCTTGGTCGGACAATATTGACGCTGCGTATGGGACAATATCCTGTATGTCCTTGCCCTTTCACTTTGTGCTGATTTATTGATGTAGATGAATGTGTTTACAACTGTTTTGCTGCATATTGCAGGCTGAATCTTCTGTTAATGCTGGGCCTGCGGTTTATATATCTCCATCGGGGCCTAATCCTATAATGGTTCAGGTTTGTATCAGTGCAAAACATCTTGCCGTGGTGTTGAATTATAGTTTGTTGTTAGTTGAAGCTTTGGTCATTTTGTTGTTAGTTGAAGCTTTGGTCATAGAGTGGAGTGAACCCAGGGGAGTAGAATCCAGCTACATGGAGCCCCAAAATAGAGTTTATATCGGGTGCCTCTAACGAATTTTATGAGTAGTTCTTTCTTATTTGTCTTAAACTATTGTCTAAAACTTAGGAAATGGCAATGTATTCAGCAGGTTGCTTGTGCTGTAGTGAGCAGTTATTTCCATTTGTGAGCAATGCTACTTGCAAAGTGTATAAAGAAACTAGAGAAGGCTACTGGCTTAGACAGATTTTGCCTCGTACTCAAAAGGGAATGAGGTGGTTCACAACCTAATTTTGGCTGTAGAAATTAAGAGAGATGCCAAGGTTTCTTGACTGCAACAAAAACAACAGTGAGAGCTGCATCTTTTAAAGCATTGTGGATCTTTGGGTGTGTATACATATATATGAGTGTGTTATATAGGTACATAATGTTGTTTGTTTATAGAGTCTTGAATGTGATCCAATACAGATGTTGTTTCCATTTCTGCCACAATTTGATTGGCTGTTGCGTGCCCTAAATGTTTTGATAAAATGATATCAAAATTCAAAAGATCTATCCTGTGACCTTTTGCTTGTTTCTTTGCAGCCTTTTCCTCTTCAAACCAGTTCCTTTTTTGGTGGTTCTGCTGTTCCTCCATCAAATTCAGTTGCTTTTGGCCCTGTTGGCATTGGAAATGTTCCGAGGCACATAAATATTCATATACATACTGGTACTGGGATTTCAGAGTACAAGTAATTTTGCACAGTTTACACCATTCTACATGACTCACCATTATCAAAATTAATTATCAGGGGCCTCACTTGCGCCTTTTGTTTCAGCTGTTGGCACCAGGGCAACTAATGCAGAAGGAATGCAGCAGGGAGAACNCTTCTACATGACTCACCATTATCAAAATTAATTATCAGGGGCCTCACTTGCGCCTATTGTTTCAGCTGTTGGCACCAGGGCAACTAATGCAGAAGGAATGCAGCAGGGAGAACGTGTTAATGGAGCTGCTTCTGGTGATTCAGGTCAAACAAGAGTAGTTCCTGTGAGAAATGTTATTGCAAGGGCTGTCCCCTCGCGGCCTACTGTTGTTTCTGTTTCCAATGCAGCACACCCTGGTGTTAGTGTTTCACAATCACCTCCTGACTCTGTTTCACTATCCACAGTTATTGCAGAAGTCAATTCGCAAATTAGAAATTTTGTCAATAATATGAGGAGTGAAAACCAGGCCCAATCAGGTATCATTATCAAAACGTGTAGTATACTCTGAATAATCTTGTTTTTGTTTTATTGAACTTACTGTAGTTATTATGCAGGCCAAACAGAGAGCTCAACTGTTCAAGATCAATCTAGGGGATCCATTGTTCGTAATGAGGAGAGGAGCGATCAACTTGGAAACTCAGTTGTCAATGGAGTTGGAGAGACAAGTCTTCCTCTGCCTGGGGTGCCAGAGATGGAAGATCAGAAGGTATGTCATGGCCAAGGTCCATAATCCCTCCAAGCATCTATTTTGTGCATATAATTGACTAGAAATTGGTACCTCAACTTGCAATTACCAGACACAATCTGAATGCCATCAACCTAGTAACAATAATGATTCAAGGGATGTTGCAAGCTTGAAAGACGTACCCTCTAGTAGCTCAGTTGGAGGTGATGTTAGCTGTTCGGGTGGAGAAATGACACTTAAGCCACTAGTCAATATGGAAGGTGCTCCGGCATCCAGTCAAGGTATTGATAATGTTGATGGTTCGACAGCAGTTCCTCTTGGATTAGGGCTGGGAGGCTTGCAACCTAAGGTAGGGTTTTAAGTCATTCTTGAAAATATTTTCTTTGAACATAAACTGGGTTGGATACTATTCCAAATTTGTTCTTATGGGATTCTGTATTTCCCATAGGAGCATAAAGTTCTAATGCCAAACATTTACCATCATCCATCAGACATATATGCTTGTGCACATTCCACCTGGACTTCGCATCACTGTTTTTGTACCAATACAAAAATTTCGTTTCTTCCTAAGATTGTATTCTACATTGATTAATAAGACAGTATTAGTATGGGAATATAAAGTATTTTAATTCCACTGATATTCTATGATAATGACTTATATTCAACAATTGCTCAGATGACTTTTTTACTTCTTTTAAATTTCCCAATCCTTCACCAAAATCTTTAAAGATCCTCTTGCCCGCACTTGTAATATTCCCATCTCTCAATTTAACAAGTCTGCATATTCTTCCTCTTCTTCTTCTTGCTTGGCTGAAGGTAAAACTCTCTGGGATTGAGTTGTAGGAAGAATGATTTGACTTTGAAACTGAAGCAAACAAGCTCATAGCTGACTCAATTAATTATTATTCATTGGTACATTATTTAGATGAAGATGTACCAGTAGTAGCAATAATTTGGGAAAGGTTTGACGAAACATGCTAATATCTGTATGTCTGTTCAAAGGGATGAAAACAGTTCATCTGCCAAAACAGTATTAATAATTATGCTGGTGACATGAACCATATCGTATTATTTTTGGAACTTGAAAGTCATGAATCCTCAGATAATCAGCACATTAGCTGGTCAACAAACATGGTACAAATTAATTTTAAAGTTTTTTTTTATATCTCCATATTAATTTGTCTTCTTAATTATTGCATCATTGACTTTTTTTGTTGAGCTTGATACTGATTTGGTTATCCAGCTAATGCTTCCTGATTTGCCCTTCTGACTGATTTCTCTTGTATTGATTGCCTTCTGTTTTAACATATGATAAATTGCTTGGAAACCTTTGTGCTGAAGTAGACTAGATTTCCAGTTCTATCTTCTATGTGCTGTATATTTCTGGTTCTTATTCCTAATGTGGTTTCTTATGGTTTCCTTCAATTTTGTTGCCCATAAGTGTTCACAAATCTGTGTAAAACTGTGGTCAGAAGAGAAGCAGGCAACAAAGATCTCAANGCAGTTCTATCTTCTATGTGCTGTATATTTCTGGTTCTTATTCCTAATGTGGTTTTTTATGGTTTCCTTCAATTTTGTTGCCCATAAGTGTTCACAAATCTGTGTAAAACTGTGGTCAGAAGAGAAGCAGGCAACAAAGATCTCAAGGCCTGAGTGGAGATGGTGCAACTTCTAATACTCCTACAACTCAAGACCAAGATGCTAGAACAGACGGCCAAAAGGTTTTGCAATCTCTTGCATCACTTGCAAGTAGGAGGAATGCAAATACACCGCCATCAGGGCAGCTTCCTCATTCTGCTGGGGGAGTCCTGGAAAATATGCCATCAGGGGGGCGAAGTGCCATTGGCCAATTTGATGCATCAGGTGTTATGTCTGAGGTTCTCCACAGTCCTGCTTTAAATGGTTTACTATCGGGGGTTTCACAGCAAACTGGGGTGGGTTCCCCTGATGTATTGAGAAATATGTTAGAACAATTGACTCAAAGCCCAGCAATGATGAACACAGTCAACCAAATTGCTCAACAGATTGACAGCCAAGATATTGGAAACGTGTTTTCAGGTTTGGGAGTAGGCCAAGGTGGTGGCATTGATCTGTCAAGGATGGTGCAACAAATGATGCCCATTGTTTCTCAAGCTCTCAGCGGTGGTTCAACTGTTCCTCAACCAATTCTTAGTGCGGTACCTGACCGCAGTGAGAGGATGTCAAGCAGAGATGAGAGATCATTTGATCAAAATTCTCAGGTTCGTACCAGCAAAGAGAAATAATTTATACAACATGAAACATGAACTGCATATGCATATACTTAGTAGCTTAGGACTTTTGATTGATATGAGATCACCAATTATATTGAACATGTGCACCATCTTTTATAAACTCAACTCAACTCAACTCAACACAGAGTTGTCCCAAATATTAGGATTTGCTGCATGAGTCATGATCCTCTATTGTGCTTTATCAAGGACATTATTTCCTGGTATTCCATATTCTTCTGGTTTAGTTTTGTCCTGCCATTGTACACCTTAGAATCCATTAATGAGTATGTTTTCCTCCTGGTTTCCAACCTCTGAGCTTTTGGCTCATTGCATTTCTGTAAGAACATGAGATGTGAATATGATGACAATCATGTTTNATTACACTTTTATTATGGTAAGGACTTACTGATCCGGTGCGAAGTAGTTCCAAACTGTAGAGGAACCGGATCCGTGCCAATGATGCTATGCTAAGCTGCTTAAGATTGTAGGATGACTTCACCTAAAGACATTCAAATTGTCTCCCGTGGTGAGTATTTTTCAGTCCGCTTTTGGACTGAAGTTACTCCGATTCGATCTTTTTATCCCCGAGCTGAACACAATCCCAGTGATGGTTCGTTTATGAGATTCTCAAAAACAACATAAACAGTGAGAAATACTTACTGTTAATTCGTGTAACCCATGTGTATGTTGGTATGATTGGCGTATCCATAATCCCANTTTATCAAGGACATTATTTCCTGGTATTCCATATTCTTCTGGTTTAGTTTTGTCCTGCCATTGTACACCTTAGAATCCATTAATGAGTATGTTTTCCTCCTGGTTTCCAACCTCTGAGCTTTTGGCTCATTGCATTTCTGTAAGAACATGAGATGTGAATATGATGACAATCATGTTTGTACATGATTTGTACAAATGGATGACTCCAAAATTCCATGTTTTTCTACGTCCNATAAGTTTAGATACAAATTTCTGAGTGTGGTGGTAACAAAAATATAAGATTGGTCTTAAAAAATTATAATTGAATTTGTCCCAAATGAAAAAAAGGAAGGAAAAAAACAGTTTTTCAGAAGTTGAATTTGATTGTAAGAACAAAACTGAACTGAACCTACATTTGGTTAAACCNCAGCAGTTGTTATATTTGTTTTGGTGTATGACGTTTATCATACATTAATGCATGCCAAGATCTATTTTACACTTTTATTATGGTAAGGACTTACTGATCCGGTTCGAAGTAGTTCCAAACTGTAGAGGAACCGGATACGTGCCAATGATGCTATGCTAAGCTGCTTAAGATTGTAGGATGACTTCACCTAAAGACATTCAAATTGTCTCCCGTGGTGAGTATTTTTCAGTCCGCTTTTGGACTGAAGTTACTCCGATTCGATCTTTTTATCCCCGAGCTGAACACAATCCCAGTGATGGTTCGTTTATGAGATTCTCAAAAACAACATAAACAGTGAGAAATACTTGCTGTTAATTCGTGTAACCCATGTGTATGTTGGTATGATTGGCGTATCCATAATCCCATTGATTTGGTATTATGGTATCAAAATTCGTAATTTTAGTAAGTTTAGATACAAATTTCTGAGTGTGGTTGTAACAAAAATATACGATTGGTCTTAAAAAATTATAATTGAATTTGTCCCAAATGAAAAAAAGGAAGGAAAAAAACAGTTTTTCAGAAGTTGAATTTGATTGTAAGAACAAAACTGAACTGAACCTACATTTGGTTAAACAAGTCTAACCCGATTTGATCCGGCGAGTGTTGCTTTCACAATCAATATATAAAACTCGTTAAAAACTGAATATACTCTTTGATTATCCCAGTAGACCATCTTAGTTGAATTTTAGCTTGATATTGCTACCTAATCGTTTCATTTTATCATCTTTTTATTAATTTAAATACAATTCAGATCTTATTTGAACTATTTCACATTAATATTTCTAAATCTCAATTCATGAAATAATAACATAACAAATTTTATAATTCATATTTAGTTAATCGACTTTATATTCGGAGCTGGTTTGAATTCAATTTGAACCGTTGAAAAATGTAGGTGGTTGACCCGACCCTTTACACATTGGGTCGGATGGAAGTTTCCAGTGCATTAGCCTTCCCTTCCGATTTCGCTAGACTCGCTCTAATTGCAACTGAGGAGAAGGCTCCTATTTATTCATACTCGCTTTCGCACGTGTCTGCGTAACAGCTATCCTCAATAGATGGAGTAGCATTCTCCATTCGGCGGGATCGTAGTCTCAAACTCCATAGACACTCTCTGCTTCTCTCTCTNGTAAGTTTAGATACAAATTTCTGAGTGTGGTTGTAACAAAAATATACGATTGGTCTTAAAAAATTATAATTGAATTTGTCCCAAATGAAAAAAAGGAAGGAAAAAAACAGTTTTTCAGAAGTTGAATTTGATTGTAAGAACAAAACTGAACTGAACCTACATTTGGTTAAACAAGTCTAACCCGATTTGATCCGGCGAGTGTTGCTTTCACAATCAATATATAAAACTCGTTAAAAACTGAATATACTCTTTGATTATCCCAGTAGACCATCTTAGTTGAATTTTAGCTTGATATTGCTACCTAATCGTTTCATTTTATCATCTTTTTATTAATTTAAATACAATTCAGATCTTATTTGAACTATTTCACATTAATATTTCTAAATCTCAATTCATGAAATAATAACATAACAAATTTTATAATTCATATTTAGTTAATCGACTTTATATTCGGAGCTGGTTTGAATTCAATTTCAACCGTTGAAAAATGTAGGTGGTTGACCCGACCCTTTACACATTGGGTCGGATGGAAGTTTCCAGTGCATTAGCCTTCCCTTCCGATTTCGCTAGACTCGCTCTAATTGCAACTGAGGAGAAGGCTCCTATTTATTCATACTCGCTTTCGCACGTGTCCGCGTAACAGCTATCCTCAATAGATGGAGTAGCATTCTCCATTCGGCGGGATCGTAGTCTCAAACTCCATAGACACTCTCTGCTTCTCTCTCTCTCTAATTTCAGGTAAGCTTCAAGATCTCTCATACTCTTGTACGTTCTATAAGTATATAGTTATATCTGCATGCATTAGAACTAGATCCTCTCACTTGCGGCATTACCACCTAGTTCTTTAATTGTTCTAGGGTTTTGTGATATTCACTAGTGAAACGTTAATCAAATTGGAGATCCGTATTTGTTTCGTTTCTTTTTTTCCTCTGTCTGTGCATGTGTAATGAATGCTACACCTTCGGTCGAATTTCAAAGACAGAAGGCAGACATTTCCACTTTCCATTTTTAAATCAAAATCTATTGAACTTGTTCTAAGTGAGCCTCTGTCTGTTTTGAGTTTATTTTTTCTTTTCTTTTAATGTTCATGAATGTTTAATGGTTTTCCTTTTTCAGGTATAAAATTTGTGTTGAGCTTCCGGGTTTCCATCTTCGTCTGCCCATTTCTTTCTCATGGCGGTATGCTAGACGGCTTAGACGCTGAATTACCCTTCTAATTATGAGATTGTTTTCGTTCACTTTTTTTATTATATTTTCACCCCTTATTTTTTTTGAGTTTGTGTGCTTTAGGTGGATAAACTTCTTAAAGATGAAGCAACAGAAGAAAAGGGCGAACGGGCTAGAATGGTAAGAGTATCATCTGGCTTCAAATTGGAAAATTATGCAATTCAAGTATCTGATTGCGACATATTGTTATGTTGTTCATGAACTATGGTAAAGCATTGCATGGATAGACTGAGTTGTCATTAGTTCTGTTTTGAAGTATTTTGGATTATATTTGCACCATGTATGAGTGAGATTCTTTTCCCGTAAGAGTTGCATTCTTGTGGAACTCATAGACTTAACTTGCTTACTTACTGATGACAATAATCACATTTTTCATTAGGCATCTTTTGTTGGAGCAATGGCAATTGCTGACTTGGTGAAGACAACTTTAGGGCCTAAGGGAATGGTAGCATTTATTTATTTTTTTAGAGTCTTGCTGGTGGTAGGCTTTTAGTTACCTGCTTCTAAATGTAAATTTTGTTGGCAGGATAAAATTTTGCAATCAACTGGCAGAGGAAACAGTGTTATGGTTACAAATGATGGGGCCACAATCTTGAAGTCCCTCCATATTGAAAACCCAGCTGCTAAAGTCCTTGTTGGTATCCTTAATGTTGTTTTTTTCAATGATGAAAATGGTTGCTTTATTTTGTTTGTTGGATTCCCAATGTTGCTTACTGATTTTGGAGATGTTTGTTGAAGTTTCTTGTTCTAATTAGATGTTTATGTGTCCTATTGAATTATTATTCAGTGGGTTAAGCTGAAACTTTGTTCCAGGAGGAGAGAGAATCTTGATTTCCTTGGGGGATTGTAATATAATCGCTTTTTTTTTTTCAATGTTTGGAAGTAATTTTTACTGGATAGTGCCAAGGAGATTCAACCTAAGAGCTCGGAAAGAAATTTCACCCAAAAATTAATTCCGCGATGAATTTTACAAAAGAATCATTAGAAAAGATTTCTAGTATGTTATCTGATGTTCCTCCTCAACTCAATGATCAGACATTTCGAAAGTTCAGGATGATGAGGTCGGTGATGGGACAACATCAGTAGTTGTTCTGGCTGGGGAGCTTTTAAGGGAGGCGGAAAAGTTGGTGGCTACAAAGATTCACCCAATGACAATAATTTCAGGTTTGTCTTGAGCTTCCTTTGGCATCTTGTTTCCTGAGATTTTCATTTCTCATGAAGGAAAAGTTTTGTCTAATGTAGCCAATCTTAAAAATTTGAGCCCAATTCCCTATTCTGTTCTCCACATATCTACCTGTATGACGGACTACTCATGAGTTGTGTGACCTGGTGTGTGATACTTTCACATTGATAGATACCTTGTAATGGTTCATCCCCACAAAGAAATCTCTTGTTAGGGTGTTGACATCTTATTAGATCCACCTGGCATTAAATACCGGTGGCAGTATCTATCTGAGGCTCTTGTTGTTTCCGGGGAGAGCCATGGGTGTACTTTATCGTAGTCCCTTGGCATTTTAAAGAAAAGGTCCATTAGGTTTGTGTTATTCAGTATTTGAATTCTGTCAACTGATTGCTTTTGCAAGCCTTGTCAACCAAAGAATTCACATTTTTTTGTACTTGCGTGTCAATTGGTATTTGGCTAGCTGAATAGTTAATTCACTTTTGTGTTTAACAAGGTAATTTGATTGTTTCTAAATTTGATCTACCAATCTAATTGGCTAGATTCAGCCTAGTTACTTTTTCATATCAAATGCCTGTCATACCTATTTTGTAAGACTTAGAGGGCCCATAATTATTGTGCTTGTTCTGCTCTGTTTTTGTGCCCTATCATACTTAGTTCGTGAGAGCTGGCTACTTTATTCTTTTGCTTTATTTGTTGAAATGTGACATTTTTGTAGAGCAACTGAGACTATAATTTCAAAGACTGTCAATGTTTTCAATATTTCAGGTTACCGGTTGGCAGCTGAGTATGCTCGCAATGCTTTGCTACAGAAAGTTATGGATAATAAAGAGGATGAAGGTATTGATTTTAAAACCCTCTCTTTTTAATTACTGTACCAGTGTTTTGATATTCTGTGACTGTTTAAGTTTTTATGAGATTCATCTATTGATAACCTTGGTTTGAATTTATTTTGAGTTATCCACTCTTTTGGCATTCACAATACTGTTATTATGCACTGGTTCAAGGATAAGAAGACAATAACATATTTTGCTTTATCNAGGCGGAAAAGTTGGTGGCTACAAAGATTCACCCAATGACAATAATTTCAGGTTTGTCTTGAGCTTCCTTTGGCATCTTGTTTACTGAGATTTTCATTTCTCATCAAGGAAAAGTTTTGTCCAATGTAGCCAATCTTAAAAATTTGAGCCCAATTCCCTATTCTGTTCTCCACATATCTACCTGTATGACGGACTACTCATGAGTTGTGTGACCTGGTGTGTGATACTTTCACATTGATAGATACCTTGTAATGGTCCATCCCCACAAAGAAATCTCTTGTTAGGGTGTTGACATCTTATTAGATCCACCTGGCATTAAATACCGGTGGCAGTATCTATCTGAGGCTCTTGTTGTTTCCGGGGAGAGCCATGGGTGTACTTTATCGTAGTCCCTTGGCATTTTAAAGAAAAGGTCCATTAGGTTTGTGTTATTCAGTATTTGAATTCTGTCAACTGATTGCTTTTGCAAGCCTTGTCAACCAAAGAATTCACATTTTTTTGTACTTGCGTGTCAATTGGTATTTGGCTAGCTGAATAGTTAATTCACTTTTGTGTTTAACAAGGTAATTTGATTGTTTCTAAATTTGATCTACCAATCTAATTGGCTAGATTCAGCCTAGTTACTTTTTCATATCAAATGCCTGTCATACCTATTTTGTAAGACTTAGAGGGCCCATAATTATTGTGCTTGTTCTGCTCTGTTTTTGTGCCCTATCATACTTAGTTCGTGAGAGCTGGCTACTTTATTCTTTTGCTTTATTTGTTGAAATGTGACATTTTTGTAGAGCAACTGAGACTATAATTTCAAAGACTGTCAATGTTTTCAATATTTCAGGTTACCGGTTGGCAGCTGAGTATGCTCGCAATGCTTTGCTACAGAAAGTTATGGATAATAAAGAGGATGAAGGTATTGATTTTAAAACCCTCTCTTTTTAATTACTGTACCAGTGTTTTGATATTCTGTGACTGTTTAAGTTTTTATGAGATTCATCTATTGATAACCTTGGTTTGAATTTATTTTGAGTTATCCACTCTTTTGGCATTCACAATACTGTTATTATGCACTGGTTCAAGGATAAGAAGACAATAACATATTTTGCTTTATCAAAGTACTTAGTTAGGTCTAGGCATTCTTACTTCAATGCTCATGCTTCCTATTTTTATTATACTCGTATTATCACATGTCCAATGTTTGAAATTTCTGGCTAATGCAGAGAAATTCAAGTCAGACTTGATGAAGATCGCAATGACCAGTTTGAGTTCAAAAATACTCTCTCAGGATAAGGAGCATTTTGCGAAACTGGCTGTTCATGCTGTAATGAGGCTAAAAGTGAGTATTTTATTTGTATTTAGTAGCTTAAGGAGGATTTAAGGTGCATAAAGTCCGAAGAAATCCAACACAGTAAACAACTTTTTCCTCTGAGAAAGTTGTTTGTGTTAAGTCCACATATTTGTCTCTTCCAGGCAAATATCTAGTATATAACCCTATTTTTCTATCCTTATGTTTGTTGCTGTACTTTTTATGTGCCTTTTTTGTTTTAGTTAGAGTTTTATTCATATTCCATGCTTTTGTCTCATTCTTTTGAACAGCTCCTCTAGGTTTGTTGCTTTTGAATGTGTCATGTACTTGACAATTCTTTCAGTTTCTGTCTGATGATTCTTTTTGAAATGGCAGGGTAGCACAAACTTAGAGGCCATCCAGATTATTAAGAAGCCTGGAGGATCACTAAAAGATTCATTCCTAGATGAGGGGTGAGTTAGATATAACTTATGTATATGATCTTAACCTTGGTGTCTGGGCTGCGGTATGTGACTTTATGATGAATGTATGTTTGGTTGCTTGGAGATCATAGGAGCATAATAGTGATCAAAATTAGGAAAGAACTGAATCTTTCAGGATCTTAGGGTTACAAAGTTATTGACTTTGGCAAGCATAACCAGCCTTTGAGTAGGGAGGTTTAAATAGTTATTTGGCTTGGTTGAGTTGATTATCTTTTGTTGCTGGTTCTAATTTAGGCTGGCTTTGATATTTTTTTTAAGAAAAGAATGAAGGAACTAAGAGTGCACTTGAATGTCGCAAACTTAATTGGATGACATATTGAATAATCAATCAATCATGATGGATTTAACTTAAAATTCCCATAAAAAAAATATTTGACTTAAAATGCCATATGACATACGATTAGCATATTCAGTGATTAATTTAGCTATTAATTTTGTTTATATGGGTGCCAAAAGTTAGCATCCTTTCTTCCCAGTCTTTGGAACAGTGGAACACGTGTTTTCTTTCCACGCCGTTGTCTTTCCAAGAGTTAAATCAACCTTTAGTTATCATAAAATCTGGTTGGCAGTAAACTAAATGACTAAATTGGTGTTGAACTCTTTGTGCAGATTTATTTTAGACAAAAAGATCGGAATTGGCCAACCCAAGCGCATCGAGAATGCAAAGATCTTGGTGGCAAATACTGCAATGGATACAGATAAAGTTAAAATCTATGGAGCACGTGTTCGTGTTGATTCTATGTCTAAGGTTGTGGACATTGAAGGAGCTGAAAAGGAGAAAATGAGAGAAAAGGTGCAGAAGATTATAGCTCATGGGATTAACTGCTTTGTTAATCGACAGTTGATCTACAATTTCCCCGAGGAACTGTTTGCTGATGCAGGAGTACTTGCTATTGAGCATGCTGATTTTGATGGTATTGAGCGCCTGGCTCTTGTTACTGGTGGTGAGATTGCATCAACCTTTGACAATCCAGAGTTGGTTAAGCTTGGGCATTGCAATCTCATCGAAGAAATTATGATTGGTGAAGACAAATTGATCCACTTTTCTGGTGTGGAAATGGGCCAAGCATGTACAATAGTATTGAGAGGAGCGAGGTACATTATCCTGACAGTTTTCTTATTATTGGTTTTTTTTTTCTTAGGTTTTTTTTCCTGTTTTGGTTTCACCTTTTCTGATATTATTCAGTCGTAAGCTGTTTTGTGCATGACATTTTGCCTGTCCACATGGATAATGTTTTGTTAGGAGGGACGGAAAAGTAGGAGGGATAGGATGCTATCTACCTCTCTCAGGAAAAATGTACTTAGATGCAGAGCAAGGAAAGAAGGGAAAGGCCGAAAGGGTCATACAATCCTTGTGCATGCTTTAATAATATGGCCTGTCTGCCTTTCTACTTTATTGTGACACTGAGGAAATGTGTGCGTGCTCACATGCTCATGTGAGCATATGTATGAGGGTGAGCTGTCTGCTGATTAACTGTGAAATCTGATGGATGGATTGTAGGATCATATCATAGAAGCAAGTCAACTATCAGTCTAGGTGTTAATCTTTTAATGTTTGATGGTTCTGTTCTGGAACCTTGGGTCATATGTCATGCTTTTGGAAACATGCCTACTAACATTGTGTTTGATGATTGTATATGTTCTTCGATGCATGATTGATGTTTGCGAAATTACATAAATAAGTCACTAAATTAAGCCTAAATATTATCCTGATTCCAGGTCTTATGTCTATGATATATGTTCAATTATTTGACGTAGGTACAAATCTCCTTCCTGGTCTTTTCGTGATCCCTTCAGTGCTTATGCTATATAAGAACATTACTATTCATGTTCGCAATTATTGGTCATGTTGGTTCTTTCACCATTCGATGCAAGTTAGGAAAGGGAATTGTAATAAGCTCACATTACCTATTGATGTGGATATTACAGTTTAATTTGATATTTCATTCCACTTGGCAGCTTCCATGTGCTTGATGAGGCTGAAAGATCTCTGCATGATGCGTTATGCGTGCTGTCTCAGACAGTAAATGACAGCAGGGTTGTGCTTGGAGGTGGATGGCCTGAGATGGTAATGGCAAAGGCAGTGGATGAGCTGGCAAGGACGACTCCTGGGAAAAAGTCTAATGCTATTGAAGCTTTCTCGAGGGCTCTCTTGGCCATTCCAACCACCATTGCTGACAATGCTGGTTTGGACAGTGCCGAGTTGATTGCAAAACTACGTGCAGAGCATCACAAAGAGGGAAGCCCTGCTGGGATTGATGTCATCTCTGGATCTGTAAGTAAAACAAACTAAATTAATGACCAAAAAAAGTAAAACAACTAAATTTATATTAAGCTAGTTGGAGTGCTATGTGCATAATGCATTCCAATAAATATAATTTCTGTCAAGGATGTATTTTACCTGCTAATAATGAAAGATTACTTCACGAAAATGAAAAATTGTATGTTAATAGCATCATCTAAAGAAAGAAAAAAACGTCCATAAATGAGTTCTTATGTCAGCAAATGTTGATCATATTTTCAAATGAATTAGTACAAATTAGGACATGTAATAAAAGGTCTACCAATTAAGGTAATACCTTTGTTGCTCATCCCATGGCCTGCTCAGCTTCCCTATGGCGGTAGCTTATAGTAGCTTTGGTTTTTGGAAATTTCTTCCATACCATCAGAGCCAATAAGGGGATTTAAGCTTTTAGGATCTTTCAGGTTGAGATTTACAATCTGTTTTTGGTGAATGGCTGCTGGATGTTTTGGTTTAGCTCTGTTATCTTGAATTTGTGCACAAGGTTTGGCAATCCTTACCTTTTAATTTGCGGGCCCTGTCTTTTTTAATAATCTAATTTTCTGGGAAGACAAAGAAGTGTGATAAAGAAGGGTTCTTGTATAAGACATCTAATACTGTCTCAAATTCACTGTTCTTTAGGGCTGACTCTTTCGTTTGTGGGACCCATATTATTGTTTGTTTGTCTCTAACTGTTGGGGTTTTTTTGTAGGTAGGAGATATGGCAGAGCTGGGGATTTCTGAGTCTTTCAAGGTAAAGCAGGCTGTATTGCTCTCCGCAACTGAAGCTGCTGAGATGATTCTCCGAGTTGATGATATCATCACTTGTGCTCCACGGAAGAGGGAAGATAGAATGTGAAACTAAGTTTGTGTACTGGACCAAGGTAAAGGCATATGTTGTAGTGCAAACTAGTTTGTGCAGTTTTTTTCATTCACGTAGGCTCTTGTATTATAATTGAGGGATTGAAAAATGTGTTGCAATGCAATTCGGTGAGGAAATGTTTGTGGTTTTGTTTTTGATTCTGTTTGAATAGAAGTGTAGTATGTGGTACTTTTAACTTGTTTCTTGGTGGACTTTTTCTCGTAATTGCTTCAAAAAAGTTGGCAGTGGCAAAATGAAGACACCCGCTTCTCTCCGGCACTATATCGAGTTCTATTCTTTCAGAAGGCTCATTTACTTGTTTAGGGGCAATTGGTATGCATGGGGACTGTTGACTTGAAGATAGAGGGTTATTATAGCAATTATCAGGTTTTGGGGGGTTGAATGCTAAAATTATACTATTTTATTTAATGTGATCGAATGTCAAAATTACAATTTAAAGGTATTTTTATTCAGGAATGTTCGAACAGTGGGTTTTCCTCCCCTCCGGACTCAAATCCCCCCCAAGTACCCCATTCCACCAATTCCCTTTTCAATGCTATTATAGATAACTGGCACATGGCAAAATAACACAATTAAAGGGCTAGACCTTGCCACCTGAACTGAAAACTTAACCATGGGTAGTTAAACAAGTTCAACGTCACTCTCGCGACCGGTGATTCATCGGAGAATTTTTCCAGTAAACAACTAATGTTTCAAAATGTCGTTGTCTTGCACAGTCAATAGAATTGGCACCTGTAAAACTCCTCCATCAACATTTTTGAAGCCCCCTATTAGAAAATCTCTCAATTTGCAATCACTCTTAGTTTCATCCAATAGTTCCAATCCATAATTTCTACAATTCACCCCCTCAAATGAAGCACGAACAACCCGTAACTCACCTTTTGAAAATCTTAACCGCCAAGACCTCTTAAGGTGCTACACTTCTTGCAGGGGAACACACTCGTACCTTCGAAAATCGGTGTCGTTTTCTATTGCGGCAGCGAGGAGCGGATTGAGGCCGCGTAACGTGAACTCGGAACTTATTGAGGAATAATTTGCTGATTCACGATTGATTGAGACTGATCTTTTATGCCTAGACGGATGAATGAGAGAGTGGCAGTATTTCGTCAAAGACCATTTTAAGCAATTCATTAAGTGTCTAGTTATTTCTTTCGGAGTTTTGTTTGTCTCTGTCTTGTTCTCAACATTGCAGTGCGGTGGAAAAGTGGCTTCACAAGTGATGGTGGGAGGGCCCAAGATTGTGCCCTCAACTTGTTTAACCATGGTTAGGGTTTTGATAAAAGTGCCAAGATCCTGTCCGTCAATTGTGTTATTTGCCACGTGTCAATTATGTCTAATAACATTGAAGGGAATTGGTGGAATGGGGGTACTGGAGGGGATCTGATACCCCTTCCCTCCGAGGTTAGACTTTTTTTTTTTTTTTTTGGGGGGGGGCGCTTGGATTTGAACTTGTACTTATTGGACTTATTAGACTCTTATGATAANGGATCTGTAAGTAAAACAAACTAAATTAATGACCAAAAAAAGTAAAACAACTAAATTTATATTAAGCTAGTTGGAGTGCTATGTGCATAATGCATTCCAATAAATATAATTTCTGTCAAGGATGTATTTTACCTGCTAATAATGAAAGATTACTTCACGAAAATGAAAAATTGTATGTTAATAGCATCATCTAAAGAAAGAAAAAAACGTCCATAAATGAGTTCTTATGTCAGCAAATGTTGATCATATTTTCAAATGAATTAGTACAAATTAGGACATGTAATAAAAGGTCTACCAATTAAGGTAATACCTTTGTTGCTCATCCCATGGCCTGCTCAGCTTCCCTATGGCGGTAGCTTATAGTAGCTTTGGTTTTTGGAAATTTCTTCCATACCATCAGAGCCAATAAGGGGATTTAAGCTTTTAGGATCTTTCAGGTTGAGATTTACAATCTGTTTTTGGTGAATGGCTGCTGGATGTTTTGGTTTAGCTCTGTTATCTTGAATTTGTGCACAAGGTTTGGCAATCCTTACCTTTTAATTTGCGGGCCCTGTCTTTTTTAATAATCTAATTTTCTGGGAAGACAAAGAAGTGTGATAAAGAAGGGTTCTTGTATAAGACATCTAATACTGTCTCAAATTCACTGTTCTTTAGGGCTGACTCTTTCGTTTGTGGGACCCATATTATTGTTTGTTTGTCTCTAACTGTTGGGGTTTTTTTGTAGGTAGGAGATATGGCAGAGCTGGGGATTTCTGAGTCTTTCAAGGTAAAGCAGGCTGTATTGCTCTCCGCAACTGAAGCTGCTGAGATGATTCTCCGAGTTGATGATATCATCACTTGTGCTCCACGGAAGAGGGAAGATAGAATGTGAAACTAAGTTTGTGTACTGGACCAAGGTAAAGGCATATGTTGTAGTGCAAACTAGTTTGTGCAGTTTTTTTCATTCACGTAGGCTCTTGTATTATAATTGAGGGATTGAAAAATGTGTTGCAATGCAATTCGGTGAGGAAATGTTTGTGGTTTTGTTTTTGATTCTGTTTGAATAGAAGTGTAGTATGTGGTACTTTTAACTTGTTTCTTGGTGGACTTTTTCTCGTAATTGCTTCAAAAAAGTTGGCAGTGGCAAAATGAAGACACCCGCTTCTCTCCGGCACTATATCGAGTTCTATTCTTTCAGAAGGCTCATTTACTTGTTTAGGGGCAATTGGTATGCATGGGGACTGTTGACTTGAAGATAGAGGGTTATTATAGCAATTATCAGGTTTTGGGGGGTTGAATGCTAAAATTATACTATTTTATTTAATGTGATCGAATGTCAAAATTACAATTTAAAGGTATTTTTATTCAGGAATGTTCGAACAGTGGGTTTTCCTCCCCTCCGGACTCAAATCCCCCCCAAGTACCCCATTCCACCAATTCCCTTTTCAATGCTATTATAGATAACTGGCACATGGCAAAATAACACAATTAAAGGGCTAGACCTTGCCACCTGAACTGAAAACTTAACCATGGGTAGTTAAACAAGTTCAACGTCACTCTCGCGACCGGTGATTCATCGGAGAATTTTTCCAGTAAACAACTAATGTTTCAAAATGTCGTTGTCTTNCAAGGAGATACCAGAGTCACACACACACACACACATATATTACATAAAAAGAAAAACATAATTAAGGGGTGGAGAAAATAGGGATGAAGCAAATAATAGGATCAGTGAAGCTCTTTACCTTTATCTTTCGTTACAAATAGAAGAATATAAGAGAAAAGAGAGAGGACCAGTTCCGAGAAGCATATCACGTGGGTTTTACAAAGAGAAACAAACAGAGCTCATTTGGCAGTATGCCCACCTCCTCCCATATATGAGAGAGAGAGAAAGAGAGTTAGGTTTCAGCTGTCTTTTGCTCTTTTTTTCTAGTAGGAGGTGGACAGAATGCCAATAAACTCTGTAAGAGTCACTTTGTTAAACCACCATGAAAACCACGAGCATCCTTCCATTCACCATTGACGACACACATATAAACTCACAAACACTCTCATAATATTAAACTGGCAAGCACTCCATGAGGGGTTGGAAAGAGGTGGGGTGGTTGGGTGCTATTTAAGAGGTAAGATCAGACTAGCACAGTAAATAAGAGAGAGAGAGAGTATTTAATTAAGATGGGTGGTGGTGATGAGAGGTGGTTCAGAAAACAGAGAGATTAATCCGATTGGATGGTTCATTCCTTGGGCATATTTAGAAGCAAAGGATCATCATAGATATTCTTCCCTCCCTCGTTTCTGATGCAAAAAAAAAAAAAAAACCCGCACCCCCCACCCCCCGGGGCTTTTTTCTTGCCTTCCCCAAACCCTCGTTTATGAATTCACATACAAATCTGAAAACTCGGTCTCTCCTCTGTGGATTATCCTCTCCCTCCACCCTATTTATAACAACTAAAGATCGAAGAAAGGCTCTTGGGTTTTAGCTACTAGTTAAAGAGGAAACTTGTCCCTTACTGACCAAAAATGCCAAAACTAGAACGCACAAGAATCCGTTTCAGATTATAAAAAAGCTGCTTCGGAAAGTTAAGGAAAGTCTTAGTACTTCTTGGGTTTTTATCAAGGAAGTCTTAGTTTTGAGCTCCAACTTTATTGATGCTGCCGCTATTTTCCTCGTGTAATCATCCGGCTCATCCGAATTAATATTCTCTTCGTTACTAAATAATTATCGTTTAAAATTTTTATACAAAGATTAAAAAAATTATTAAATAACTATAATATGAGTAAAAAATAATTACACAAAACTAAAATACCTTTATTCAATACGTATTGGGAAGGAAAGAAATATGAAAGATATTTAGTCTCCACCTAATCTAATGCATTGAAAAATTAAAGATAAATTTAAAAGAAAAAATATTAATTATGCTTTGATTTCATTAAACGACACATATTTGGAACAAAAAAAATTGAGTAAAACGACAAATATTTAAGAACGGAGAGAGTAATAAAAACGAGCTATAACTTTAGAAATTTTGAGTTTAAATTTTGATAAATTTTAAGATTAAATAATGATGAATTAATCTCTAATAAATACTTTAATTATGAAATTAATAACTTATTTTTAACTTGATCAAATGTGCATAAACTGATTCGAATACAAAAAAAAATATATATCCAGCTCAATGGTATAATGGTTGCTCCAATAGCAAGGAATTCTCTCTTCCGCCTTGTATTAATTTTGTTCCACCATTTATGCAAATGTTCAACATGTTAATGAAAGAAAATTTGAATTATGATTTCACAAAGAAGTCCAAGTGAAGAAAAATGAGCCATCTGACACAAAATGTGGCCAACCACCGGTACAACCCTTTACTGCAAAAATGGAAGATGACCCGATGGCCACATACATTTTTAACTTTTTTTTTTTCCCTTTAAATAAACAGGACCACTATGGCACTGTATCAAAATTATAACGTTTTAAAATTAAATTTATAATTGTGATGGTTTTTTTTTTTTTTGGTCCAAGTTATAATTGTCACGGTTCAAATCATAACTTAGGGTGCCGTTTAGTAACTGACAATTTTATGTTTTTTTGTTTTGTTTTTCATTTTATGACTAATAGACAAAAGGGAGTTTGCTGAATGTTTTGATTTTTTGTTCCTGTTCTTTTTTGAAAACAAGGTCAGAATATGAAAACAATGTCTTTGAAAACATCCAAGAAAAACAAAACACACACTCAGCTTTACAATTGATTTTATGAGATCTGAACTTTGTTCCTCCTTTAACAACAAAAAAAAGAGATTTTCTTGCTTGAGTATAAAAACCTCTCTTCCCTTTTTCACACTTTTTTTTTTCCAGAGCCCTC